GGGGATCAACAGCCCCTGAGGGGATCAGGACTCCGCACTGCCCGCGGCGATCCCGACACCGCTGCTCCGCTGCCCCGCTGCCGGCTCTAAGCCCTGTCGGGTCGTGGCTCCGAACCGTGTGGGATCCTGGCTCCGAACCGTGTGGGATCCTGGCTCCGAACCGTGTGGGATCGTGGCCCGGGCCGTGTGCGGTTCTCTTTCTGAGCCGTGTGCGGTTCTCTTTCTGAGCCCTGTCGGGTCGTGGCTCCGGCCGTGTCGGCTCCAGGCAGCACTGACGTGTCACAGCGGCCTCAGCAGGCTCTGCCGTGCTCTCACAAAGCTCCTTTCAGCCACGGGCAAAGCACATTTCACCATTCCAAAAGATTTTTAATGCAGTTGAAAGACCCTCCCCAAGAGATTTTGGAGGAGCTGGCTTGGATCTGGCAAGGCCATTGCAGAATTACAGAGCTCAGATCCTGTATGGGTCTCCAGTAAGGGGCGTTTTTCTTGGAGAGAAACCCGCTTCAAATACCATTTTCCTTTTTTAAAGGGCTTTATTGGAGGATATGGCATATGGATCTCGTTCAGTCTGCAGTCCTGTACAGCGTGATGACCCTCATCAGTACCTATCTTGTGGCTTTTGCGTATAAAAACGTCAAGTTTGTCCTCAAACACAAGTGAGTTGGTGCCTGTTTGAAGTAGAATTTATCATTTAATAACTGAACAAAACCAGCATTTATTACTGTATTTTTGAATTAGTAAGAATGCTTGAAATGTTACTCCACAAAGTATTCTACACACAGGTATCTCCTAATTGGTTTCCTTTGTTCTCTTGTAATTACAGTCAAATCTTGTCAGCCAAGAGTATGGTCAAACAGCAAACCCACCTTCATGCTGAGGGGGTATTAGCACAAATTATGCTTAAATTATAAATTATTTATTATATGTAAATTACAGTAGTAATTATTACTATTATTTCTTGTTGTCCCTTCACCTTGACAAAACTGCCTGGTATCTTGGCTAAGTTTTATTCTTTACTGTAAATAAAACTTCCTGTAATCCCAGGGCTGGGTTGTGGGTTTTTTTTTTTTTCTTTCTGAAGTGTGACATGAGTGGTGTTACTTACAGAGTAGCCCAGAAAAGAGAAGATGCTGTTTCCAAAGAGGTGACTCGCAAGCTGTCCGAGGCAGACAACAGGAAGATGTCCCGCAAGGAGAAGGATGAAAGGTGATCTCTCTGTCCTCTTCCTTCTCTCCCTTGTTAAGTACTGCTCACTTCTTAATGTGGSTGTGYCAGGRTATCCCCARCCCTGGAAGTGTCCAAGGCCAGGCTGGAACAGGCTTGGAGCAGCCTGGGATAGTGGAAGGTGTCCCTGCCCAAGCACCACCACAAGATGAGCTTTAAGGCCCCTTGCAACCCAAACCTTTCCAGGATTTTTTCATACCCATTGATTTAAACATATTTGGAATTTTATCTCTGCTTGCTCCTAGAATTCTGTGGAAGAAAAATGAAGTTGCAGACTATGAGGCAACAACTTTTTCCATCTTCTACAACAACACCCTCTTTCTGGTCCTGGTCATCATCGCTTCCTTTTTTGTGCTGAAGAACTTCAACCCCACTGTGTATCCTTTATCCCCACACTGAAACCCCCACAGTTAGTTGTCACTACCAGCTGTAGTTGTCACGTGTGCTGTGCCATTACTCTGTTGGCAGCTCATTGTACATCAGCTTACAATATTGTAGCATAAAGATAAGAGGTTACCAAAAACGAAGTCTCTGGATCACATAAATGTGACATGAGATGTTTTGCACATCTGTGATAAGGGTACTTGGACAATATATGGAAATTCTCCTGGCTTTGCCGTTCCTATTGTAGTTTTGGAATGAGGAGGGAGCTCATTTTCYTGCAGAAACACTGTGTCAGTATTGGTTGCCCAGAGCTCTTACCTGACAGGATGTTCAGTTTCAGTAACTTCCCCAGTAAAATATTTTGTTCTGAAAGAAATTAGCATTGCCAACAGGGCAGTTAATTCAAGACCCATATTTGTAAAACTTCTTAGAGAGCAGGCTAAACTTCAGGGGTGTCTTAATGCTGAAGGTGAGTTAATGCACTGATTGTAAGCTGTGTTTCAGGTTGCAATGTTCCAGTTTTAAAACTACAGAAGAAGACCATTTCAGTTTCTTCCTTTTCATAAAACTACTAAATGATCTATACCAAAGAAGTATCTTGACAGTTGTATGTCCTTAACCTGTTCCCTACAGAAACTACATCCTTTCTATCAGTGCTTCCTCAGGACTGATTGCTCTGCTGTCTACAGGATCCAAGTAGAAAACCCAGAGCAATTTCTTCCTGTGAGAGGCTTCAACTGCCATCAAAATGCCTAAGGGTGGAATAGGAATAATTTTTTTTTTTTTAGCATGAGGAAAATGTGGGGAGGGCTTGAATCCTAACTGGTTGAATTATATTTACTTTTGGTATCTTTACATGGTATTTGATATTGGAGTTTTTCAGGTTTTTTTTTTACTTAGCAAGGAGAAGCAATGGGGTGTGAGCTGTGAGCAGACATCCCCTTTTCTGCACCAGGGAGGAGTGATGGTGCTGCAGCTCCACCCTGGGGGCTCTGCACACCCAGCTCTACCTGCAGCCTGGAGCAGAATTCCCCTGCCAGTTGGGTGACTGGCCTCAGCCAAACCCACTGAGCATAAGAGAGACAATCCAGTTATCATCGTAACTTGAAAAGTTGTAATAAAAAGGAGCTTTTTTGCCATTTAATTCCTTGTATTTTCATTCTTCATTTTTAAAAAATGTGTATTTTCATATCTTGGTTTGTCAGCTCTGCCTTCAGAAGAGAGGAGACTTTTACAAGTTAACAAATTCCTTAGAAATACTCCTCATTTTTGAGTAACGTGGAGTCAGGACAAAACCTAAATCTCCTAGAAAAAATGCTTTTGAAGTGGTTTGAATATATTCTCTTTTTTCATTCATCTTCGGAATTGTAAATAAATAAAAAACCCTGCCAGTTTCCCTGCACAGCTTAAGAAAAATGCTTTAGCTGGCTTTTAATAATGGGTTTATCAGACAATCCTGTGCCTTCTTTTCTGGCTATCACTGGAGCAGCTGTTCAGTTAAATGCCAAACTCTACTGCTATTAATGCAATTCCAGTTACAGATCCTGCCATTACAGACTCGGGATCCTGCACAGGGAAGAAATAGAAAGTTTATAATCAGATTTAATGGAACAATTACTCTGCTAATCTTGGCTTCAATAAGATTAATGGAAAACAGCAAAATGGAGAATCTGAAGAGCAGGAGACAGTAATGGCTCTATTTCTGGCAAATTCAAGTCCTTTTGGTCATGTAATACTCCCTACATTTACTGTTTTCTCTCAAAATAGATGGATTTTCTTTATCCCTTCTGCCTGGTTCTTCAGCACTGAAAAGAGACACTTCCATCATGCTGCTGCCTGCCTTGGACAGTTTAATTTTCCTTGGCCTCACTTCTCATAAGGGATATTATTGATGTATTTGAGCCTTAGTATTTAGCACACATAAAGCCAATTTTTAACAAACCTCTCTAAACAGCCAGAACCCAACACAAAGCCAGGCTGGCTCCTCTGGGAGCAGCAGGACTTTGATGTTGCTGTTTTTCCTCTGTTCCTCCCAGAACACCCCGTACTGAAATTCAAACACTTGAACAGACAACATTGTTATCCTCCCTTTCCTGGCAGCGTTGGGGATTTAGCAGGTGGATTTGCCAGTAAATCTGTTCTCTGGAGCAGTGCTTGGATGCAGCACTTTCTTCTGCCATTACTGTCAACTCACTGAGTCTTTTAGTATCAGCTTTTCATCTTTTAGGGCTTTTTTGGTATTGACAGTTGCTGAGGCCTGGCACTTAGTGAGTGTCAGAATTTTCCTGGAGCAGGAACACTGAGCACTGACAGCCTGAAACAAAAGCAGGTGGGTGGGTGGGGTGGATTGCGTTTTGCAAAAAACCTAATCTTGAACCTTCACAGAAAAATTTGGGGCTTTTTTTAGTTGGCATTTGGATTTTTGTTCACTTTTTCAGTTGGTTTATTTTCTTTGAAGGTGGTGTTTGGTTTTTCCTTGCAATCCCCACTACAAGCTGTAATGATAAATTAAAAATTCAATATAATAGACTGAAATTATGTTTCTCCAGTCTAATGCTTAAGAGCTGGGCTGCTGCTTGGCCCCACATTGCCCTCAGAGCCTGAAGGTCTTGCTCCAAGCAAGCGACATTGCCATCTCCTAAATTAGAAAAAGTTGGGAATGAATCTAGTTTTAATACATTCTTGGATTCCCAAGTACATGAGAAAGGGAAGAGAGAACATTAAATTGTCCCTCCAGAAGAAGGAAAAGGAATTAGTCTGCTACTGGGAGGATAATTATATTACATTAATAAAACTGTTAACTGTGTAATGGTCGAAGCCTTTGTACAAATTACCAAGAGTTAATGTGATGTGATGCAACACTGGGGGATGTTACCACGATGGGAAGGGAAGGGGGGCTGCACCTCAGCTGGCTGTGAGGGGCCAGGGTCACCTTGGAGAGGGTGGGGACAGCTGCACTGTGCTTATCTCAGGCCAGGGGCCTTAAACCCACCCAGTGCCACCCCTGCCATGGCAGGGACACCTCTCACTGTCCCAGGCTGCTCCAGCCCCAATGTCCAGCCTGGCCTTGGGCACTGCCAGGGATCCAGGGGCAGCCACAGCTGCTCTGGGCACCCTGTGCCAGGGCATCCCCACCTCCCAGGGAACAATTCCCAATATCCCATCCATCCCTGCCCCTTTCAGCTTCAGGCCAGGACAGACCTTACCTTAGGGACTGACTTCCAGCAGTTTTATTCCCCAGGCACAGCTGCAATGGTTCCCCGGGCACAGCTGAAATTATTCCCTGGGCAGAGCTGCAATGATTCCTGTGGAACAACCCCCCAATCCTCAGCAGAAGGCCCTGCAGGCCCAGAGCAGCTCTGGTGTCAGTAACAGGTCTGCAGGTACCAGGGTAGATGCACAAAATGCTTTTATTTTGTCCAAGCAGATTTCCAGTCAGACTGCATTTCCCATGTACAGCAGGAGTCATTTACACACACCACAGCTTCAAATACAGGAGGAGAGCACTCGGGAGCTGGGAGCTCTCACCTGGCCCAGGTGAGACTCCAGGGGGGGAGRAGAGTACAAGGGTCCTACAAATACTGTACAGAGCTGGATCCCAGCAGGGAGGGGAGAAATACAGACTGAAATCATAGGAGCATGGTACAGAGCAAATCCACGGGAAGGTACAACGTGGTTCTTGAGCTGGGCAAATTACGATGTAAATTCTTCCTGTCAACTCCTGTAAATGCTCACAAAAACCTGTCTGAAATGTGTCTATGCAYTTACTTATCCCCAGTTCCAAACCGAGTGAAAGCAGATGTAGCCTTTTGAAGTCCGTACCTGATTGTTCCTGCAGTTCTCAGCAGCTATATATTATATATATTTATAGTATCTATATCCTTAAAAGCTCCTGAATATTGAAATTTGCAGTAGCTCTGTCTACAAGCAGGCAGAAGTAGAGGCAGGTTTCTATAGATGCAAAACCCAATATTTAATCATGGCTTTCTTGGTTTAAGGTTTATGGAGAAGTAGAACTTTGCAGAGCTGTTGTGTTCAGTAACCTGACATGCGTGTCTGGGCTTCCTAACGCTGCCCAGGAGCACTCCCCAGCCRCAAGAGCTGCATAATTAGGAGCTGAACTATCTAATTTCTACCTATTTCTCTGTCTTACAGCCTTTATCCAACTACAAAGAAATCCTAAAGCTTATATTCAGCATAAAAAAGCAAAGTTTGAGCTTGCCCCTTCCATCTGTTAACCTGAAGAAACTTTATAGTTGAGATTTCCCAAATGTGGTTTTATTAAAACCTGAAGTTGTATCTGGCTTTTCTTCATTGAAAAAATAGAACTGTACATCCTTCTTTAATTACCAAGTACCTGAAGGTTAGAAATTTTTTTTTTTTTTTTTTTGCTTTTCAAGTGTTTTTCACAGCACAAGCATGAGGTGCAAAGAGTAAAGTAAAAATTAATGAACTCGGTCAAGAAGGTAAGAAAATACAAGGTTATTCTTGGTTAGAAGAGAGATCAACTGTGCTTTTAAATTCACTGCAGAGTAGTAGCAAGAGCACACATCTCGAAGGATCCAGTGACAGTAGAGACACCGAGCAGCAAGTGCTGAATGATTCTCATGAGAGTAATTCGGGGCTGTACTGGAGTACAGAGCACTTCTAAACCATGCAGTCCAGGAAATTCATGCAGCGCATTAGGATCTGTAGTCCTTCTTGCTGTAGGGCTTGTTGCCTAGGATATTATCTATTTCATTTACAATATGGGATGTCATCTTTGGAAGGACCTAGGGGKGGAAGAGAGCGATGTTTCATCCAGATAGTTCCAAAATGAAACCCAGATTTTATCCAAGTACATTTCCTCTGGGGTTTTTGTGTGACAGATATTAAACACTCATCTAATAACGTTCTCCCTTAAAGGAAAAAACCACTGGAGTATTTTTGCTCAGTGATCATAACAAAGCCTCTCAACTTTATATCTGAAATATTGCTTGGGATRCAAGCTGGTGGCAAGGACAGCAGAGGAAGAGAAAGCTGCGATGTGGGAAACAGCAGGGAATAACTGGGGTGGGTGCAGGTGACGTGTGACAGCACAGAATCTGTCACCAGTCCTGCAATCATCTGCAATACATGGAAGCTGCTGATGCCACCCTCGTGTCACTGGACACATCTGCAGTGACCCCAAATGTGCTACTATGTCACAGTGACACCAGAGATGTGCCCAATGAAGGAGCACGAACAGAGCTGGGAGACAAAATCCCGAGTGTTACCCCTGTGTGGGGAAAGGAGGGTGCTGGGTGATGGTGCTGCCCCCACCCAGGGGCTGAGCAGGGCTAACCCCCCATGAAATCCTCACCTGAATGGCTCCGAGGTTCTCAATCAGCTGCTCGGGGTTGGAGGATCCCAGAAGGACAGAGCTCACCCCCTCATTCCTCAGGCACCACGCTGGGGATAAAGGCACAAGGGGGTCAGGAACAAAGGTGGAATGGCACGGCCTTGCTGCACAGTGTCTGACAGAGCCTCTGTCTCTGCTTTTAAAATTATTTGTTCCAACTTTGCTCCTCTGGCACTACCAGGAGGAAGATGCAGGGATCAAATAACAAACCCCACAGATTTTCCAGCATCCCACCCAAGCTTGGTCCCTGCCCCAGGTCTTCTCATCCTTGTCGGGTTTGGTTTTTCCCTATCATAAAACACTGATGAACCAGGGATCACCTTTCTGACAGATGTGTGGGATTTGCCAGCCTCAGCTCTCAGCAGCATGAAGACAATTATTACAAAAAAAACCCCAAAAGTCATTTTGAACAGCGATCTCTTGTGTCTGTCAGCTTAGCACCCCAAAGRTGATGGCTCCATGTGGGGTGGGAGTGTGCAGGGAAACAGGCAGGAAACAGAGGACCCCTCTGACCCTGTCACAGCCTGATGGTGCTGCTGGCAGCAATCCTGGTTTAGGGAATTGCTGCCCAGAGCAGCTGTGGCTGCCCCTGCACCCCTGGCAGTGCCCAAGGCCAGGTTGGATGAGCCACCTGGGACAGTGGAAGGTGTCCCTGTCCATGGCAGGGGGTGGAACAAACTGAGTTTTAAGCTCCTCCCGAAACCAAACCATTCCAGGATAAAGAATCATTTATGCATTTGAACAACAAACACATCTCCAGCTCCAGGCCCAGACCAAACCATGATGGAAATGCAGCACATCTTCAGCGTTATTCTTGCCCAAGGCACCCTGACCCCTGAGAGGGGCAGGAGCAGCACCCACCGACAGCGAGCTGCGGCAGCGTGCAGCCCAGGCGCTCGGCGATGGGGGACAGGTCCTTCAGCTTGCCCTGCTGCTTCCTGCCCTCCTCGCTGATGATCTTCTCCTTCAGCCACTGGTAGCACTGCAGAGCAAGCACAGCACGTCAGCCTGCGTCCTCCAAAGTTTAAGGCAATTTATAATTATAATCTATAAATATATAAATGGCAGCGCTTGAAAAGCCACAGCCACTCCAGAAGGTCGTGGAGGCTGAGAATACAGAGCTTGGCTACCCAAAGCCATCAGGGCAGCACCAGAATGTCCCCTATTGTCCTCATCTCCCTGGTTTTATCCTYGCTCCAGAACCTGGAATCTCCTCAGTTTTCCTTTTGGACCCCATAACCCCCAGAAAGAATAAAAGCAGGATAACTGTGGAGAAACCAAGCTGTGGTGACACCCTGCCCCAATCCTGCCCCAAATCCCAGTCCTGGGTCAAACCCCAATCSTGCCCCAGCCCCTGTCAGCCCCCAGCTCCGTGCGTGGGGAACCTGAGCTCGCTCTAACCCAGATTCTCCTGCTCTTTGGAGCGTGGTTGCCAGAGAAACCGAGCTGCTCCACCACACAGAGCCCGGCCTTCCCACCAGGGAGCCCTTTCCCCTTTGCTGTTTCCCCGCTCCCACCAAAGCAGCACAACTCAAACACCCCCAGGAAATACCTTGAGTGAAGCCCTTGAGCTTTCAGGGACCCCGTTGCCGTATTTCCCTGAGATGATCCCACAGGCCAGGGGAGACCACGTCATCGCTCCCACCCCTGCAGAGCGAACAGAAAAAGGGGATTTAGGGGAGCTCTGTAAATCAGAGCTGTAGCAAAAATAGCACTCTCAGTTAAAAACTAAAAGAGAAGCAATGCAGCTGCTGCTTGTTTCTGCTGCCCCTGGCAGCTGCTCTGTTGGTGCCCTCCAGGAAGATGCTGCTGATGCCCTTAAGGGCACTGAGGATTTGTTTTACTTAATGGGCCACATGAACCTCAGAGARCGAGAAACAGCCAAAGCAATTAACAGTTAATATGTTTATTAACAGACTTCATTTATTAATATATAATATTAAGCAACACTTCTTTATCAGAGGCACAGTCAACCAGTTTTTCTCTTCTTTTATATTTTTATATATATATACTATATATTTATTTATATGTATATATATTTTTTTTTTTTTTTTTTTTTATATCTTTATATATATATACTATATATTTATTTATATGTATATATATTTTTTTTAATATTTTTTTTTCTTTTCAATAGACAGAGACTTGGCTTTGTCACTGGTCCCACCTGGAGCCCCAGGACACCCTGCTCTCCCTTCCTGCCAGGGCACAGCAGCCTCAGACTCACCGATTTTGTGGTACAGCTCTGGCAGCTGCACCTCCACCTTCTCCCTCTGGAAGAGATGGTACTCGGCCTGCTCACACACAGGGGGGATCATGTTAAACTGCCTGGCCACCGAGTAGGCTTCCTGCAGACGAGAAAACGGGGAAAACGCTTCAATCAGTGAAAACATCGTGCAGGACATGCAGGCAATGTTCTTTGAGGGTGCAGAAGATGTGCAGGAGATGTGCAGGAGATGTGCAGCAGATGTGCAGCAGATGTGCAGGAAATGTGCAGGAGATGTGCAGGAGATGTGCAGCAGATGTGCAGCAGATGTGCAGGAGATGTGCAGCAGATGTGCAGGAGATGTGCAGGCCAGGTCGAGCTTTGCTGTCCCTTGGCAGGGGGCAGTGGGGACGAGCAGGATGCTCCAGTGGTGGCATCTCCAGAATCACAGCCTGCTCTGACATTAAGGGGACATTAAAGGGACATTAAAGCCCATYTCATTCCACCCCCTGTCCTGGGCCAGGCTGGCCACCAGCACTGMTATCAAACTGAAGGACTTGGCTTCAGTCAAAGCAAAATGGCACAAACCCAAACAAACCCCCCAGACACCAGCCCACCCTCTCCTAATTAGCACTGGGCTGGTTCTGGAGCAGCTTTTCGATTGTCTGAGTAAATCCTGGAGCTAATCCCGTGCCAGCCCCCGTTTCATGCCCGTACCATGATCTCCATGGCGCTCCAGCGGGACGTGCCCCAGTACATGGCCATGCCCTGGTTGATCACATGTGTCATCGCCCGCACGATYTCTGCAGGAAGGCAAAACAGCAGCGTCAGGAGTGCCCAGAGCCCCATTCCCAGCCCCAAATCCATCCCCGGTTCCACACACGCTGCCCATCCCGAGCACTGAGCACTGCTCCTGCTGCGCTCTCCTGCCCAAGTGTGCCTGGGAAAGCATTTTCAGTGSAAACATCACAACCTTGACCTGCTGCTGGCTAAAATCTGCTTTTCCCACCGCCTCTTGCCTGCCACGGCCTGAGGAGAGCATTTCGTTCAAAACCTAACACAAGAGGGCAGCACGGTGGAAAAAGAAACTTGAAAATAATTTCTATTTCTTTTAAAATTCACCTCCTGGAAGCACACAGCTGGGTCTGCTTCTTTTCACCAGGAGCACTGGGGGCAAAGCTGCAAAGCTGTGTGATTGAACCCCACAACAGCAAGGACCTGTCACCGCTGCAAACCCAGCCACAGCTKCTCTGGGCACYCTGTGCCAGGGCTCACCACCCTCACAGGGAACAATTCCTGCCCAAAATYCCATCCAWCCCTGCCCTGTGTCACAGGAGCAGCCACAGCCCGTGACCCCCTCTCTGGCTATGGCAATAAATCCTCATTTCTGAAAGGCTTCARAGCCCAGCAGCAGCTGCAGCACAGACACGACCCCAACCACTGGAAAAATGGACCAAACACACTCTGAGAAGCAAAAGCAAACACTTCTGGGGCACTGCTGCCTGTGACACCTCAGGATCAGCGGGCACTGCCACCWCTCTGTGTGCCCTTCCCCTGGGACAGTCCAGGAGCTGACTCTGCCCATGCACAGCAGCGATTCTGACACCCCAAACCCCTCTGTGGGGCTGTCCTGGAGCCTGCCCTGCCCGTGGGTCCCTGCTGTGCCCATGRATGCCCCACAGTGCCCATAAATCTCCCCATTCCCCCAGGATGAGGACCTCAGACCCCGCTGAGGACCAAGACGAGCTGCCGTTCCCAGGGCAGGATTCTCRTCCTACTTCTGGAGAGGGAAAAGCAGCAGGCTGGCAGCGAGGAGGGTTCTGTGCCAATCTGGGCGTTGCTGAGATGCCTCTGCAGGCTCTGACAGGCAGCTCGRGGGGTGAAGGCTCCATTTATAACCTGCAGCAGGGCTGGGATCCATTTGACACACAGACCTGCCCTAAACCTAAACACAAATCCACTTTATCCGAGGGAATGAGGGAAAGGAAATAAAAACCCCAGACAGCWTTAAAGCCAGCACTGGGTTGTACAGGAAACTTCCATTTCTTTCCAAAAAAATAGAAATTCATTTCACTGGAGTGTAAATATAGAATCAGAGATGGGTTGGGGCTTTAAAGATCATTGACACCCAAGGCCTTGCTRTGGGCAGGGGCACCTTCCACCTGACCRGGGCTCCAGGACACACAAATGAGCTATTTCAAGCTTTCCCATCYGAATATTTAATTAAAAATTGTTGTTCATTTCCTACCCTCCTCAGTCTAAGCCAGTAAGTGATCCTTCCCTTCCTCCCTCCCTCCTCAGCAGCTTCTCCCTGGGTTTAGTTTTCTATTTTTGCCCYGCCACCATTTCAGAGTTTTGAAAAACATTTCGTCACACGCCTCTTACACATCTCAGCCTGCGGTTGTTTTCATTTCTCCCACCTCTACTCCTTTCAAAAAAACCCCCAASTCAACTCAGAAGATGTATATAAATATATAGATCTATAAATTCTTGTTTACAGAGCCAGGGGATGGCGATGGCACTCGGGAAGGGCACACACCCAWCTCTCCTGGTCTGCCAGCTGGGTGCCCAAATGGTAGCACTTTAGAACAGGAATTTATTTTTTTTTTAAATATAAATCAATGTTTCAAAGCCCAAATAACAGCCCCTGGCAGCACAATAACAATAATTTTGAAGTAGCTGAAAGTTCCCTGGTAGGAATGTTGTCACCRTCCGTCCCCGTGTGCCAGGGCTGTGCCTGGTGCTGGATACGCTATGGGGACCTGGCACTGTGACAATGGGGGGGTGACACCAGGGGACCCCAGGGACCCTCCTGTSCAGCTGCACTCACGGAAAAGCCCCTTGGGATGCAGAAAAAGCATCGGCTCACACAGCAGGGAGATGAGACCTTCAGGCTCAGTAATGAGGCACGAAACACATGGGCATTCTGGAGAGATGGATCCTTCCCATAACCTGTCCCCAAAGTCCCTAATCRAGGGGCCTGTGTGGTGGCAGAGGACAGCAGAGACACCCCACACATGGCTGATCCAGTCCCGGTGAGGATGGGCAGCCCCTCACCCCTGCCTGGCAGATCCCAACCCTGCCTGGCAGATCCCAGCCCAGCCTGGCAGATCCCAGCCCTGCCTGGCAGATCCCAGCCC